TACATTGTCGTCATTTGAATCTAAATTCTTCTGCCAAATATTAGATAATGTTAGTATACAAAAATTATAATTATATTTTGTTCTCGACATGCCACCAAAAAAACAAAATTTATTTTTTCATTCATATTGCATCTTTAAGATGACATTTTAAAATAAATTGGAATGATATTAATAGATTTTTCATGTGGACGAATATATTAAATAATTTGCATAAAGATTTGCATAACCTTTTTTGGCAGGAACAATTGTGGCATTTCAAGTATCAAGTATCTAAATTGAACACTAATTGACTATGAAAGCATCTAACCATTGATTACATTGTCGTCAATTTGAATCTAAATTCTTCTGCCAAATATTAGATAATGTTAGTATACAAAAATTATAATTATATTTTGTTCTCGACATGCCACCAAAAAAACAAAATTTATTTTTTCATTCATATTGCATCTTTAAGATGACATTTTAAAATAAATTGGAATGATATTAATAGATTTCTTTTTACAGTTTTTAATAATAATCTGAATACTAATTTTTTTGTCATGACTGAATGAACTGAAATAATAAACAATATTGACCAATTCAATAATTGCATTTGTACTAATTCAGTAAGCTTTTGTTTCCATATTATTGCTTATATAATTGTGGTTTAGTTGAAGCATATTTTAGACAGAATGGATGCCTGATGTTTGTTGCAATCTTTGACATTATCATTCATTGTGGAGCATGTGGACCTTCTTGTGCAGTAAATGCATACCAATATTCGCCTCATTTAGTACTGCTTAGCAGGTACTACTAAGTTATAAATGCATGCTTTCAAAACATCACCGCAGGTCATGAATAATTAATAACAATGAATACTCCCCGGAATAGACCAGTTGTGGTAATTTCGCGTCGAACCATGATTCAAGAAAAAATGGTATCCAAGTTTACAGCTGTTCATAGGTCATTTAAAATGGTGTATTTATTTTATTGAAAAAAAATATCTTGTACAAGTAAACTGGTTTTTTTCTTGTTTGCAAACAAGTTGCCAAGTTTTTGTTTATCCAGTGTTTATCCAGTGTTTTGTTTATCTCATTAATATGCATGGTTTACAAACATGAGGGTAAATAGTTTTAAGTTGGGCCACTTTCTTTATTTGCTATTTACAAACAACTGATAAGATATCTGTTTGTAGTTTACACACAGCTGATAAGATGTGTGCACTGCTGCTTTTCTAGATGAGGAAGTACAGCAAAGACAAAACAATCGCTTTTGAAACACAACAAATTTTGAATAAACAAAAAAGTACATGAATGTACCACTTCAATGTAATTATGTGTTAACAGAATAAAAACTTACAATAAATTTCTGTAATATTTTTTCTTGGCTTTGTCATTGAAAGGTGTCTGACCACGGGGTTACTTTCTTACAGTCCAGAAGTAATGCAGTTACATTGGGGGGGGGGCTCCCTTTGCATTGCATGAAAATTCTGATAACAAGCCACAAGCTATATGTAAAGGTTGATCAATGATAAGAATATGCTTGGACTTGGTTTATATGATCCCCATGTCAGAGGACCTTCACCAGGTAAGCATACTTGCATGTTTTGGTTTTTCTAAATTCCTAAATTATGTTACATGTAATAAATCTGTCCACAGTCCCGGACTGTGATCTGTCTGATAAATACTTGGTTGTTTTATCTAATGTACTCAGGCACAGTCCCTCTATCATAGAGAGACTGTGACTCAGGCGAACAAAATGCACGGCAACGAAATAGTAGCGTCCCCCCCCCCCCCCAGGCCGACGTCTTGACATCGGATATGGGCCAGTGTTTCACGCAAGGCAAGTTTTGACTTTTTCGTACGACTTTGGTAAAAAATAAAAGTATCATCTAAAATCTAGGTAGTTTTTATAGATGATAACAATGAGTCCGGTTACAATTAAATTTTGAAGAGATTCATCTACAAGTATAAGACCCGAGGTTACTGCGACGGTAAAACTCTGTTTTGCGGGATTTAATTGTTAATAGAACAGGAAATGCTACATGCCGACATACACCACTGGGTCACATTTTACAATTATTTCATTCACACCAACTAAAAAGCAGGGCAGCTTCCTTCATTAATGTGCAAAATATGCAAATAAGGAGAGGGTCATCAGTATTCTTTAGTTTAGTTCACTAATTATGGACGAGATAGTAAGCACTTGAAAATTTCCAAAAAAAAAAAAAAAAAAAAAAAGAAAGCGAGGAAGAAAGAAGAAAACCGTCAAAAGAATGATCACTCCCGTCAAAAAAATGTTGAAAGAGACGATGCTGGGTTCGTACAGAACGGATTTCCCCGTCGAAACCAGTGTCAGCCATGAAGTGGATGTTGTCAATTTAAGCGCCAACAACTTGCGTGCCGGACTATACCATTTAGGTGTGGGGGTGGTGGTTATGGGTATGGGTGGTTCAAAAAAGAGGGAGGAGCTAGCGTGCGTTGATCACTGTTGTTCACACTTACTCAAGTACTAATCATTTACTTTTATCTCTCTTTCAGGTCAAGCATTTGCTAACAAAAATATGTTTATTGAGACAAATAATGTGTGTGATTATGTTTTCTGTGTATTTTTTACGGTATATCCCTTCTTGGAGGATGTTTTGGCCCTGAAAAGGGCCGTTTTGTTTGATTTGGTTTTTTTTTAATGCCGTACCG